CTCAGGATACGTTTGGCCTCCATAAAGTCTGGTGACAGAGGTTTAAGTCCATAGTCCAGAGCTGAAGAGCTTTGCAGGCACGAATGCGTTGATCTGCTCCTCGGGCATTCATTGTACTCTTAGGTGTATTTTCAGAGTCCCCAGCAAAGCTTACCTGCATATGTGTCTGCGATTGTGCCTTTTCGTGCTGCATTAGGCTTGTGAGAAGTCTAATGGCTGGTGCTTTTTAGCATATGTATGAGCCCTGAGAGTGTGAAAGTGTGTCAAGCCTAAGTAACAGGTGCAGTCCAGGCAGAAGAGCCTCTTTGATAATGTAGTTTATCCTGCACAGAAAGCTGGCATCATTTCTTCCAGTAGTTCTGCTGGAACAAGCTGCATCTGTGCTTGAAAGGTTTTGATTTTTATGGTGATGTTCCTGGTCCAGCGTAGACATGGGAACTGTCTATGAAACCAAGTGTGTTTTGTGGTCGCAGCAAGACCATAAACTGTCCTAACATTGGTTGTGACCTGCAGCTGTCGTAGTTTGAAAGTTGCAGTGAGTAGTATTGGTGAAGCCCTTGTTGCACCAACATAAATGCATAAACACCAGCCTGAACTGATGGTTTTTTTTCAACATCATCATGTAGATAAAGGATGCTTTAAAATGTTCACTTGTTTTTGCTTTGAGGATCACTGAGGTTTTGCACAAAACAAAAACTAACATGATTAACAGATAAGGGGGTTTTATTGCTTTCTGTCTCTTGCACTACTATTAAAATGTTCTAGAGCTATTTCTCATGTTACTTTGAGTAAGGGAATGCTTAACAAAAGGAAGAGCAAGTGAGCAAATCGCTGTCAAAACTTAATAGAATAGCCTTTCCTTCAGCAAAGGTATTAAGAAATGGTGGTGAAGAGAGGGGAGTCCAGGGGGAAAGCTTTAACTTCGTTGCAAGAAACAGTAATTCTTGTGAGGGCTGATCTTGTCTCAGGTGGAACTTGCAGTAGTTTTGCCGTGAGCTTAATCCGAGTATGGATTTCCAAGGCTGGGTGCTGAAGGTGAGTCAGCTACAGAAAAAAATCTTGGCCCCCAGTGAAGTAGGAGGCAGTATCTGCTTTGGCTTCAGCAAGGATGGGATAGGCAGCGGGGAGGATTTTCAGCCTGGTTTTGGGGTCATTAATCTGGACTGCACTGCTGAATTAATTACACGAGTGTCAGTTCATTGTATTCAAATTCCAGTTGATTTCCCAAGCATAGTAACCAAAAGGAGTATAAATCTCTGTTCAGCTTCACTAACTGGCAGTGGTTAGCTGATACTAACTTGTGGGAACCGTAACTCTAGCAGGGTAACCTTTTTTATTACCATTTTATATTTAATTCAAACTGTTATGGACTAGAGTGGCAATGAAAAGGTATTAATTGGACATTGGCCCATAATTCATTGAGAAATGATTATAAATTCATAAGGAAGTTACGTTCTGGGACTGCGTAAGTGAGTTTTCAGGATCTTTGGAACTGATCTGCACAGGATGAGAAGCACGATAACGCAGGTACTCTCTAATAGGAACATCTGAAGAACTCAGATGACTCAACGTTTCTTGAATTGACTCAACATTTGTTGGGGATTCTGTTGCACAAATGACATCTGCTAATAAGTTACTGCATACAGCAGTTACTAGAAATACTTCAGAGCGTCTGACTTCCTTCGGGCAGGCAAGTACGTCTTTCCTAAGGACCTGTTGAGATTGTGCCACCTCCTTTTCCTCTTTTGGGATGAAACCAGGACCTGGCTTATGAATACTGAGATTCCTGAAGAATTCTGGTGTATGCAGTGGAGCTGCTTAGAAGACAGAGCCAAAAATAGGCCGTAAGCATAGCGATGAGGAGTAGTCCCTGCTGGGAAAATGGACCGAGTCGAGTGAATCCCATGTGGTCGGTAAGCATCCTGACTTGCAGGCTGCCAGTTTCATTGTGTGCTTTAAAGAGTTCTGTTCCCAGGTGAAAGTCTGCTCAAAGTACAGGTGTTGCCAAGAGCAGCTCTGGGTGCAGTAGGAAACAGAATGTATTAAATAACTTGGAAATCTGATGCTGAATGTATGTGTCTGAGGGAAGCCATAGAGAGCTGCACTGTGGGTCCACACATGCACTTGGTGTGCTTGGCTGTAGCTAGATTAACCTTTCTGACTGTAGATACTGTTAACAATTCAGCTGCCCATTCCCATTTTTTCCTAAATACATTAAAATTTCAGTGTAGTTTTTAGGAGTTACTCAAGTTTTTGCTAAGTTCCCGCATTTGCCAAGCTCAGAGAATGTTTTTTCTTTAGATGCCATACTAAGACTTTGATAAACAACCTGTTGTAGGTTGCCTGTGCTTCAGTGAAGGGTTTTTTTTTGCCCTTCTGTATGTGGAGCTGGTCCTCTTCAGTGTTCGTCTCCTGCCAGATCTTGGAAACTATGAAGATGTGCAATGCTGCACCTAGCAGTTCTTGAGAGGTAGCGCTTTGGTGTTTCTTTCTTGCTGCTGTTTATTTGACTCCTCAGTAGTTGCCATTTTTTGGAGTAGTTTTTCTTAGGTTTTGCATCACTTTTCTAGATATTTGAAATTTCTTCTCTTACTCTGTTACATACGGATGGCTTTGAAATAGTGAGGATTAAATTCAGTTCCATGGGCATTTTCAGACATTGTAAATTCGTCTTCAGAGTACTACTCATCTGTAGAATCTTGGGATGAAAACACGTTCTCATACATACAGAAAGCTCACACTTGAGTATTGCACTCTGTTATGTGTTACTAGGTTGGAATCCCAAATTTCTTACTTGTTTAGCTCTTTTTTAGAGTGCAGTTCCTGCTAAGGTTTTGTGACAGTATAGTAGTTGCTTTTTGTGGATCAGTCTGGAAGAGAAAATACTCATATGGAGTAATCACACATTGTAGAATACGAGCACAACATGGTTTGGAAGTGAGTAGTTAAATCCTTGCGTTTCACAAAGTACACTTTTAAAATGGATTTTGCTTCCTTACCCCTGTTGCCCTGAAATGACAACTTGCTGATAATTATGCCTTTGGTATTTTTGCCCGAGTGAAAATGGGGAGTGAGATTTTAACTTGCAATCAGGTTTTTCAGTGCTTACCTCTCTTCCATTGAATACCGTGTCATCGTACCAGAGAACGTAATTTTTGATGATGGGAGAAGTGGAAATACCTTTTAATATTAGGTTTTTATGTTCCATCTCTGTGAAGATCAGTTTCTTGAAGATAAAGGGCTTGATGGGATGAGCAGCTCTAAGGTTGGTCATAAAACACATGCTTGGTTAGTTAGAAGAATTTGAAGTAGACCACTTTGCAAGATACTGGGTTGTTCAAAAGTAGCGTGGACTTGAAATGTTAACAACACAATATATGGTAGTAAGGGTTTGTTTGTACTCCTTTCTTGCGCTCCTGTACGGCAGGGAATGTGAGTGGGGTCTAGTTGGTCCTGTGTAGGTGAGGTTCCTTCAATGAATCCAAGCCTCTGCTTTGTTAGGAACCTGAGACGTAAGTGCCAGTGTAAGGCAGTAGTTAACAGCACCTTAGCAGCTGGAAGCCAGTACTGCTTAAATTGCATGTGTTACCTAATATGTGGTAAAATAGCCCTTTTTTTTTTTTTACTCCCTTTTACTGCATTGTATCTGAAGTTATGTATTAAGGTTGTATGAAATTATAAATGAGAAAGGGAAGTAATTCTTTTGTGACAAGCTTGAATAGAATTTGAATTTAAAATCCAGGATTTACAGTGGCTTTGAATACTCCCATTTTTTTTAAGTTATAGAAATCACATTCAGTCTATGAATAGCTGGACTGTGTCTGGACAAATCCAGTTGTAATGACTGTGCAGGTGACCCTGCATGTGTTGCATGATACTGTGGATTGTGTAGCATAGCGATTAAAAACGCAGGCTGGTGAGGGTTGCTGGAGGTTGTCTGGCCCTGCTCTAAGCGGAGCTAGCTGTGAAGTTAGGACAGGTTTGTCAGCACCATTTGGTACTGACACCATTTGGTGATTCCACCCTCTTGCTTGAGCATTCTTCTTTGTGAGCTGCTTTTTTTCCTTCTGTGTGGTTGGGATTTTCTGGGCTACATGTCCTGGCTGTTGCCTTGTGTCTTGCTTCGCATTGATGGGAAGAGGCTCTGCTCATCTCAGTACCCGTTTTGGCTAGTGGCAAACTGCAGGTAGTACCTGGGTTAGCTGCTTTTTGTCCAGCCTGCAGATATGAGGTGCCCTCAGACTTTAAGAACTCCGTGTCGTGTACTTGCAGGATTTTACTGGTATTCTTTTGGACTCTCGGATTTTTCTGTATTTCTTTTGAGGGGGTGTGTGTGTGTGTAAAAACCCGACACAGTATTTCAGATGGGAGCTCCCAAGGGCTGAGTACATGGGAGTAATCGCTGCCATCGACCTGCTGCCTGCACAGCAGCTAACGTGAGCTGATGCAGCTATAGTCTGACAGCTGCTTTAAGCTGCCTGAAGCGCTGCTGCTTCCCCTGTACTTAACCACCCAGCTCCCTCATTCCTACTCCCTCTATTGTGCTGGTACTAGCAGCACTCTTGTAGCCTCATGGCAGGCCAGAACCACATGAGGAAGCTAATGCAAGTTGAAACAGATAACTGTATTGTGTCAGATCAGTTTTCTGTGCCGGCTGACTGTTCAAAGCCTTGGGCTGACTCAGGGATCGTGGATGAGGGGGGCACAGCACTGCTCTCTTCTTTTGTTGGTCACTGTATAGTAGTCGAGAGTGTTGTAAGGGAGGCAGAGGCTTTGAGGCCAGGTAATAACAGTGCCCCAGAGGATTGTCCTGCAGGGCTGGGGTTTCCTTGTCACCTTGATTACTTTCACCTGTTCTTATATTCTCTTTGGGAGCATGTGATAAGGGCAGTCTGGCCTTTCACAGAAAGGACAGGCAGTGCTGCTTCCACACACACGTGTGCTCCAAGCTGAAGTATATCCTGGCTTCCCCAGTGCAGTAGCAGGGCTATGCAAGTAAAAGGGTAGAGGCTTTGCTAATAACAAGTAACAGGGAATATCCGTGCTGGGCTGTGACTAACAAGTAAGGATTGCCCTTTGTAAAGTGATGGGATGCACCAGCAGGGCTGAGTGTAGCCTACTTTGGAGAACATGGTTACGCTGTAGGGTAGCATTGATGGTAACTAGATGCTTGCTTTCCCTCAGCTGTTCCTAGCGTGGGCTCATGGCAGGCCCCTGGCTGCGGGGATGGGTCCTAATGGCTGGGACAGACCTCAGCAGCACCTCTTCCAATGGACTGAAGGCCCTGTTAGCTGAGCTGCCTGCTGAAGTGAGTCAGTCTTCAAGAGTCTAGGTCGGTGGTCTCCACATGGTTTTGATTGTACATCCCTAGTACTAAAAGTTGTTTGGGTGTACACCCCTGCTGTATGTGTGTTTATTTCCCAATTACATGTATGTACTACTGAAGTTCTGGGTTTTCCTTCCCTCACCCCAATATCAGATTGTCTTGCACACTTTGAGACCACTGGTCTAGGCTGTGTAACTAATCCTTTAATTCCACGCACTGTTTTGAGTTGTATTTTCAAACTGTCTTGGCTTTAATACGGTTTGTACGTCAGTTGTTGATTTGGCCGACTCTGTGTTAACAGTGTGGAGGACAGAACTTGTATAACTTCGGTATAGAAAACATGAAGAGACAGTCAGCAAGAAAAGCAGCAACCTCCTCTAGCAGTTGGGCGCTAGGAAATGTGTTAGGGATCATGTCTGTCAACGTCTCATGTTGCTGGAGTTTCTTTTCTAAACACACTGAAGGAGCTGTTGCTTCTGGGTGTGCACGGACTTGGGCTGCTTGTGCACTTCTGTTGCTGTTCTGACGTTGACAGGACAAATCCTCACTGAAAATCATGATCAGTTAAAAAGATTGCCCTGGTTTCGGGTGGGACACAGTTAATTTTGCCTCAGAGCATCTGGTGCAGTGCCGTGTTTCGGCTTTAGTCTGAGGTTAATGCTGATAACACACCCATGTTTCAGTTGTTGCTGAGCAAAGCTCATACAGCGGCAAGGACAACTCATCTCTCACCCCAGCCCAGCAGCGTGTGGAGGCTGAGGGTGCCCTGGAAGCTGGGAGGGGACACAGTTGGAACAGGGGACCCTGGGAGTGTTCCATGCCGGGTGATGTCATGCTGAGCAGTGAAGCTGGGGCCGTTGCCTGGGCGACGGCCTGCTGCTTGGAGACTGGCTGGGCATTGCAGAGCGTGGTGAGCAGTGGCCTTGTGTTACAAATTCTTTCATGATTATTACTATTTTCCCCTCCTTTTCTGTCCTGTTAAAGTGTCTTTATCTCAACCAATTAGTTTTACCTACATTTCTTACTTTCTTTCCGTTCCACTGAGGGTGGGGGAAGTGAGTGAACGGCTGTGTGATGCTCAGCTGCCTGCTGGGCTGAACCAACATGCAGTTGTGTGGTTATCACAGAAGGGTTGGTGCTGGAAGGGCCCTCTGGAGCTCATCCCATCCAACCCCTGCCAAGGCAGGGCCACCCAGAGCAGGGCCACCCAGAGCAGGGCACACAGGAACGTATCCAGGTGGGTTTGGGATGGCTCCAGAGGGGGAGACTCCGCAACCCCCCCGGGCAGCCTGTGCCAGGGCTCTGCCACCCTCACGTAAAGAAGCTCTTCCTCGTGTTGAGGTGACTCTTGTTGTGGTTCAGTTTATGGCCATTAATGTTACGTAGATCTTGGGTATGTGTGGCGGAATAGAAGCAGAGTTTAGTTTAAATAGGTATGTTGGTGGCTTGGCTGTGATCTTGAGCGCTCTTTCACAGACCGCATATGCATAAACCGTGCTGTTTAGATCGTGTGTTGGTTCTGTGGTGTTTCACAGCAGCACTGCCATGCAGCATCACCGCCATGCAGCATCACCTTAATGTAGTGTTTTCTAACCATCATGGGTGGCAGTGATTTGTCTGTGCTTTGCTTGTAGTTTTCAAGGTGCAGAAGCATGTACGCTTCTACACCTCTTCCTGTTTGCGCCTCTGTGATGGCTCAGCTGTAGGAGAACTTGGTGATGGTTTTAGAGAGACAAGCTCTTTGGTTAACCAGTATTAAAGAAAAAAAAGCTGTCATAATTGCTTTTTCCTGCGTGTTTAGAATCCTGCTAGTGATGGCAAGAGTGTTGCTAAAGCTATGGGAAGATGCACTTCTGGAGGGGACTGGCTGTGATTCTTGGTGTGTGCTTTGTTTGGGTTTTATTATCTGATGTAATCTGGTAGGCGCTCGCAGTGTGCTGAGTAGTCTTGTCTTGCATCATGTTTGTGAAATGGTAAGACCCAACAAATGATTTTGCTTGTAATAAAGCCAGCTGTGCATTCAGCTGAAGGGATGAGGGTTATGTGTTACCATCAAGGCTGTCTCTTCTTGATGTGCTCATGCGGTTTGTTTTCTGTTACATGCAGGTTTTAAAGAATTTAGGGAATGTACCAAATGTGTCTACTTTGAGCTGGTAGTTTTAATACCCACATGGGTAGTGACTGAACCAAATCCTGTTTGCTCACTTTGGATAATGGTGAACCCTTATTGCGGTATAATCCCAGAGAATATTTGGTTTGGTAAAGCAAAGATGTGTTACCCTTGAGTCATAATGTTCGTACTGCCATAGACACATGGGATGGGATTTTCAACAGTAGGCTTGCAGCGTGAGAACGAAGATCATGTTCACTCTCCATAGAGCTGATTTTTACTTCTGGTTAGGTTGGAGTCTGTAACCTTGCTCTGGAGGTGGGTGTGCTGCTTAGCTTTTAGAGGAGATCACAGCTTTCTGTAAGCTGTGCTAACAGTGCAGTTAAAGCAGAGTGCCTGTTGCTTAATGCTAAGTGCTTACTCATTTGTCCTTACTGTTGCCCATTTAGATTTTGTGACACAGAATATTGTTACTTGCTTAGCATGAGGTTGTAAGATCAGCGCTCATGCTGGTGGCTGTGTCCAGCAGTGAGCAGGTGTAATACTGAATCATGGGAGAATGATTTCCTTAGGATGTTTGATCACCTCCCGAATGCTGATTTTATTGAGATCTGAGGTATTTCTCTGTAGCTGTGCTTTACATTCCTGTTTTCCCAGAGAGGTCATACTGAGGGATCCTTACAGTGATGTGTGCTCCGGTTCTGCTTCACCCTTGCTGTAAACTAGAGCACAGGAGACCGAAGGAAAACAGCTGAATGAGGCTATGCAGTGTGGAGGACAGGGTACCCTCTGCTAGGCTGAGGTATAAACTAGTTTCAGAACCGGTGGAGTACAGAAAAGCCTCAGGAAAGAGCTTACAAAATCACAGGGCAGCTGAGGTGGGGAGGTCTGGAGATCACCTCATCCAGCATCCTGTCCCCAGCAGGCTTAGCCAGAGCCGCTGCTCAGGTCCAGCTGGGTTCTGGGTATCAACAAGGAAGAAGACTCCCTAACCTTGCTGGAAAACCTGTGCTGGTATTTGACTGCTCTCAGAGTAAAGGGAAAAAACAAACCACAAACAAATGCTTTTTGTCTATTTAAATATATGTTTTGTTGTTGTTTTGGTTTGTTCCTCTTATTCACTGGATACCACTGAGAAGAGTTTGGCTTGATGTTCTTTACACCCTCCTACCAGGTATTTACACACACAGAGAGTATTCCCCCAAAGCCTGCTGTTCCCCAGGCAGAACAGCCCTGGTGCTCTCAGCCTCTTGTATAACTGATGCTCCAGTCCCTCCATCATACTGGAGATGCATATGAGGGAGAGACCCTGCAGAATGGCTCTTGTCGATCTGGTCAGGGAGAGTAAGTTTCTGTTTGGCAAGAAGTAAGAGATGGTACAGAATGAATTAAAGCTCAAACTATGTTAGTAAGTTTAAGGGATAAATATGGTAGCAGACTGTTAAAGGGAAATTGAGGAAAAACCTGAGCTTGGAATGCACAGTGGCCAATTTCGTGTGATTAGAAGATACTCTGAAGATGAAACTGGATAACTAAATAGAAAACAGGGTACCAAAGGTTTAGGAAATGCTAGCAGCAGTTGTTAATTGAACTGGTGGGTTAGGTGGGATCTTTACAGAGAGAATAAGGGAGGATAAAGTGGTCCTGAGAGTTGTTGACAGAGAACTTTACAGTTACTGACAGAGAAAAGGGAGAAGGTAGAGTCTCAGATGACATTGTGAGAGTCAAAGTGAATGGGAGAGCCAGGACATGCAAATGGGAGCTTTGAAAGAACAGTGATGGAATGTGTTTGCACAGGCAGCACCTGATGGGAATATGCAGTGCCTTAAAGTGTTGGGTTTTCATGCTACTGTGAGGCTAAAAATGCTCTGCACCCAGTGAATGGCTGCTTATGCTCAGCTTGGCTAATGCAGATGAAGCCCACCATTGGTAAAAGGGTTCAAAACTCTGTACTACTTATCACAAGTTCACTTCTGAGTCTTGTTGAGAAGAAACTTCCTACAATCAGCGAGGTTGGAAAAGATCATCGAGCCCAACTATGCCCAGCCCTGCCAAGGCCACCACTGCCCCATGGCACTGAGGCCTCATCTCCACGCTGTGTGAACACTTGCAGGAACAGTGACTGCAGCCCTGCCCTGGGCAGCCTCTTCCAATGCCTGAGCACCCTCTGGGGCAGGAATTGTTCCTCAGCTCCATCTCAACCTGCCCTGGTGCATCTTGAGGCTGTTTCCTCTTGTCCTGTCACTTGTTCGTAGTGGTCCTGTTGTCACTAGCAATAGCTAGGAAAGGTCTGCTAGGAACAGTGCTCATTTGAATGCTTTGTAATGACTTGGCTGTAGTTCTGGTTCTAGCCTATACCATTTAGGTTATGATGCTAACCTAAGTTTGTTCACCTTTTCAGCTGGTCAGTGTTGTAGCCATTCATTTACAACAGTCTTTGCAGGTTCTGTAGTGTTTGATTATTCCTTCACTGGGATTAGCTGGGAGTACCTTCCTGTAGGAGTATTTTGATTGGAGTCTTGAGATGACATTCAGTGTTGATTATTTTACTACTTTCTTTAAGTCACAGAAGCTCTGTTTAACCAGTAGTTTAAGCATTTGTCTCTCCAGTTTAAAATCTAAAAATACCCCTCAGTGGTAAAGCATTGCATGGAGTTTTGTGTATCGTTCTGTGAATTTGATTTTGAGATTCATCAGTGCACCTCTGTGGAAGGTTTAAGAACTTTGCCAGTAGGAGAGACCTGTCAACTTCAGAAATAGTTTAATAAATACTTGGTCTGAATTGGTTTTGCTGCTGAAGGTGATCTTTTGTCTGATATGTGTCAAATATCCCTCCTCTCCCTTCTCGTTCTAGTTGTCATGGATGATGACGACGATGAATCCTGTCTCCTTGATCTTATTGGGTAAGTTTTCCTTAAGCAATCCTGTCAAAAACGTTGGGAAAAGCAGAAGGTGATTCTATCTCAGTATTGTCTCGGGAGTGGGTGTCGTGCAAATGAAATAAGCAGCTGCGCTTTGTCTCCGTGTGTGCATCCCAAAGCCTTCAATCCCAGTCTGTACTACTAGCTGACAGTCCACTTGCAGGCATTCTCCTCCGGAGGGACTAGGGAATGAGCATGGAGGTTGGATTTATCAGCAGTTTTCTCAAAGAGACTTTATTAAAATCAAGTTAGGGGTTGTAAGTGGTCCGGGCTTGTTGGATGTGCGTGTGTTTGTTGTTTCATTATTTCCAGAACAGATTTATTCAGAGGTTTTTAATTCCACATGGGGACCTCAAAAATGATGAGGATTGGTAAAACGTGAGCGAAATATCTGTGAATTACGTGTGACAAGTGCCCTTCCTTTGGCTACTAACATTGGTGTCAGTATTCAAGAACAGATAGTATGCTATAATGCAGTAAAAACATCAGGAGAAAATCAAACACTTCATACATGGGGATACTTTATTCCAGCTCTGCCAGAAGTGAGTTGGACATCAGTCTTGGAGCAGCTGCTAAAAGATCAACTTGGTTGCGTATAAGCATGTTTAACAGTCTTAAATGTAGTAAATAATAGGCCTTTAACTTCCTCATGGACTCGAAGCTTCCAGCGAAACCAGTGAGAGCTTTTGCTTCAGAGAACCCCAAGTATCACAACAGTGGCTGCTGTCGTATGGGGGGGGTTACTCAGTGGGCGCTGTTCGCAAAGCCTTGCCAGTCGTGGCTCACAGTTCTGTTCTCTGAGGTGAACTGTGCAAGATCACTGATGTGAAAACCACATCCTGCTTGGAACATAAAGGTGATAATTGATTGCATGGGACAATGAAGTGCTCTCTCAGGAGCATGAATCATGAGGAGCCTGGTACAAGTTCACAGGTGGTCCAGAAAATTAAGTGCTCTCTATACAGATGAGTGTTTGTGTGAGAAATTACAGTGTTCTCCCTCCTGCTGGCAGCAGTTACTGTCTTAAGTATCTAGAGAAATGGAAACCAGCATTTTTTTTATACCTGCTCTTTGGTTTTGGTAAGTGCCTTCTAAAACTCTTCCCTTACTAATGACAGTATTTAAGGTGAGGAAATGTTCTTCAGTTCTAATTGCAGTTTTCACTATCTTAAAGCCAGCCGGTGAGTGTGATTAATATTAAACAGCCTGGTTATTTTACTGATAAAGCTTGTAAGCATAGAAGCATAGAATCCCAGACTGTTTTGTATTGGAAGGGACCTTAAAGCTCATCCAGTTCCAGCCCCCAGCCACGGGCAGGGACCCCTTCCACTAGAGCAGCTTGCTCCAAGCCCCTGTGTCCAGCCTGGTCTTGAACAGTGCCAGGGATGGGGCAGCCACAACTTCTCTGGGCACCCTGTGCCAGTGCCTCAGGGAAGAACTTCTGCCTTAGATCTAACACGAATCTCCCCTGGTTAAGTTTAAACCCATGAAGCATAAGCATGATAGACCCTATATGAGATCAAGTTCTAGCTTCCTTTATTCTTGAAGTTCAGTGTAATCTACAACGAAAATGACATTTTCATTTGAAAATTCATGTAACAACTTCTGTGTTGTAAGCGTGACTGTACCATAAGGTCCCTGCCAAGTACTGACACATCTTTTGTAAACACATGAATGCAGCTTGCTTATAAAATGAATAAAAGAGGAATAGAGGTCTATTTATGCTTTCAGAAGACTGGTTGTAAACCTGCAATATCTTTAACTTGTTCCAAGTTTATTTTCTAGGCTCTTGAAGAGAGTAGAGAATGGTTTAAATTCCTACTTTATTTACACGAGACTCACAGAACCACAGAATAGTTTGAGTTTGAAAGGACCTTCAAAGCTCATCTAGTTCCAACCCCCTGCAGTGAGCAGGGACGTCTTCATTTAGATAGGTTGCCCAGAACCACATCCAGCCTGGCCTTGAATGTCTCCAGGGATAGGGCATCCAGCACCTCTCTGGGCAGCCTGTGCCAGTGTTTCACCACCCTCATTGTAAAGAAATTTTTCCTCACATCCAGCCTGAATCTCCCCTGTTTTAGTTTAAAACCATCACCCCTTGTCCTGCTGCAGGATGATGAGTATCTCCTGCGTCTCAAAAATGGTTTTAGTGTTACTTGTTAATCAGTAAGGATGTTTTAAAATGAAAAAATCCATGTGATTTTACTCTTTGTGCTAATGGACATGTTGGGAAATGCTGTGTTACTGTTGTATTAAAATAAGCCCATGTAACACAACCTTTCAGTGTTTTTTCGTTTGGTTTGTATGTACAGTTACTTTATTGTCTTTTGGTTTGAATTTCCAAGACTCATTCTGTCAGACCACATCCTAAAGCTGAGTTTTGCTCACCGATAGTGCTAAGCTAATGAAATACCCTGAAATTGTATTTCCCAGTATTTAATCAGTAATTTTTATGGCTGATTTAAGCTTGTTAACTTACATTGAGGGTGGCAGGAAAACATGTTCAAGAGTCAGGTCTGTAAATACGCTATTGACTTAGTAGCTAAAAAGGCATTCTGGTTCATCTCTGTAGAAGAGAAGGTACCTGGTTTAGTTCTCATGTTATTTGGTGGTAGTATTTTCCTTAGGTTTTGTGCTCTATTCACTCATACTGTGTGTTTGAAGAGAATATGAGTAATACCCTCACAGAGGGAAATAAAGCAGAATGCAACGAAAATTGTGTGATGGACATAGTATATTGCTTGAGATGCAAATCAGGTCAGCATCTGCCAACTGTGCTGGTACAGAAACGCAGATCCTTCCATGATATAAACTTTCAGCTTTGTGTTGCAGTCAGCGCACTGTGTTTTTGCCAGAAACCTGATCTCTCTGGATACAGTATCTTAGTTAAATTCGCCTCACCCCTAGAAAGAGCTTCCTAAAAGTGGTAACTTTTATGTTTTGTTTTTTTTTTCTTCCCTTAAGGGACCCACAGGCACTGAATTACTTCCTCCATGGGCCTAGCAGTAAATCTGTAAGTAGCATTCCTCTGTGTTAGACATGCATAAGCTTCAGCGAGTATATGACTTTTAACCATGACTTTTGTCTTTTTTTTTTCTTTTTTTTTGCCAGAGCAATGAAGACTTGACTAATACAGAATATTCTGTAGCCAACTCAAATTCCATTTTTGCCAACTCCAATGTAAGTGCTCAGGAGATAAATAATACTTGTATTGAGACTGCAGGTTTCTGGTATGGCTTTACTTGGCTTTTAGAAAACGGAGTGAATTAGATGTGGGTTTTGACCTTTTTCATATGTAAATTCTGAATTCTAGCATAGAACCATCTCCTGCTGTTGATGTGGAAGTATTTCATTGGGTTGTCAGTGGGGAATTAATTGAAAGATGCTGCATTATTGGGCCATGTCAGTCTGTAAGGCAGCTTGCTCAGCAGTGAAAATACTCACAACTCTATGCAGAAGGTGACGTTGCTGCGGACTGAAGGACAAGAAAGCAGTGTCCGTCCACTCCTGCTCCCTTCCCTGATCCCACCCATCTCAAACTGAGCCACTGTTTTACCTCCTTTAGTGATTCCAGGTTTGTTTCCTTGGGTAGTCATCAGTCTCCGTTACAAACCTCATGAGAGGCTTCCATAGCCATTGCCCTGTTACCCAGCTTTACTTAGTGACTGCTTCCACCTTCCTGTTGTAGTAGTACAGATTAAAAGAGCAGTGTCAGCACAAATAAGACTCTTGGTAAGCAGGTGCATGAAGCTGCAGAGGCACTCATTTCGTGTTGAAATCTGTCTGGTGTTATGGGTGGCTCTTGTGAATCTGGGCAGCAGTGATACAGATCAAACTTGGAAGGTCCCTGCTTCCAGTTGGTGCACATAAAATTGTTTTTGGATGTGAAACGGTCCTGGAAGCAGGGGACGAAACATGGGATTTGTCATTCCAGTGGGAGAGCTTCAAACGATTAATCTTGATTGCATGTAATCCTATTTATTATGACAATGACTGTTAGCAGTAATAGTTGTATTGTTGGTACTAGCTGGAATAGTGTAAAATGTAACCCACTAAATTACACAGTTGCAAAAGATTCCGGGTTGGTCATTGTCACTGGAGACAAGTTACAGATGCAGTAGGGAGTTCTGCACAGGGACCTGACACTTGTGAGTCCTAATAGAGCCCTAGTGAGTGATTTCTTCTTACTCTGCCTGATGGTAGCTAGGGACAGTTGAGAACCTGATCTGTGATTTTGGGTGTTCATGTTGCAGACATTGAGACATTTCAGTTCCAGTTTTAATTCCTTCTGTTAACAAAAATGTAAAAAGTTTTGTTGTCATTTTTAATTACATTTTGAAAATACTTAATTTTAAGAAGTGTATGTTAATAATTTAAAACATGAGGGAAGTTTCATTTAAAAATACATAGGATGATTCTGAAACAGATTGGGGTAAAATACTGAGTAAATATGCTTGGAGAACTGAAAGCGGGAGCATGTTATTGCATGTGATGATTACAGCTTGCAGCATCTTCACACTGTTTGTATGAGGTGGACAAGGTAATGGTTTTAAACTGACAGGGGTGGGTACAGATGAGCTCTTAGGCAGAAGCTCTTCCCTGTGAGGGTGCTGAGGCGCTGGCCCAGGGTGCCCAGAGAAGCTGTGGCTGCCCCATCCCTGGGAGTGCTCAAGGCCAGGTTGGACACAGAGACTTGGAGCAAGCTGCTCCAGTGGAAGGTGTCCCTGCCAGTGGCAGGGGTTGGAACTGGCTGATCTTAAGGTCCTTTCCAACCCAAACTGTTCTGTGATTCTATAAAACATCCATGACCTTCAGGCAGTAAAGGGTTGGAGTATGAATATGACAGCTAATTTCACACCCACATTTTGCATTTATCCTGATCTAAAAAGAAACTGGATGTTTTTAACTAATCGCTACATGATTTTGCAGTTTACAAAGGTGTTCTTAGTCTAACTTAAAACTATTGCCACTAGTATTACACATTTAAATTCATTATTTCACCTGCAGAAACCTGATACTTGTTTAGACTTTCTGGACATAGATTTTTAGGAAAACTCACTGAAAATAGGCCAGAATAACGTGGCCTAGTTCTGATTTTCTGTAGCACAGTATTTACAGATGTAGATTTGGTGCCACTACAGTATTAGCTGTAGTTTCAGTGTTCATAGTTGTCTGAGGTTTTTTAATGGCATAAACTACCAAGTCTGTAGCAGTGTTTTTCTTACTGCTTTGTTTCTAAGACTTTTCTAAACAAAGAATTAGCATAATTCCTTAACTTCATCAAAGGATGACCAGTTTGCACTGCGTGACTGGAAATCATAGAATCACAGAATAGTTTGGGTTGGAAAGAAACTAAAGATTGTCCAGTTACAACCCCCTGCCATGGGCAGGGACACCTCACACTAGAGCAGCTTGCTCCAAGCCCCTGTGTCCAGCCTGGCCTTGAACACTGCCAGGGATGGGGCAGCCACAGCTTCTCTGGGCACCCTGTGCCAGCGCCTCAGCACCCTCACAGGGAAGAGCTTCTGCCTTAGATCTAACCTGAACTTGCTCTGTTTCAGTCTGAACCCATCACCCCTGGTCTTATTGCTACAGTCCCTGATGAAGAGTCCCTCCCCAGCATCCTTGTAGCCCCCTTCAGACACTGGAAGCTGCTCTGAGGTCTCCACGCAGCTTCTCTACTCCAGGCTGAGTAGCCCCAGTGTTCTCAGCCTGTCTTCGTGTGGGAGGTGCTGCAGCCCTTGATCATTCTAGTGGCCTCCTCTGGGCTGGCTCCAACAGCTCCATGTCCTTCTCACACTGAGGACACCAGCTCTGCACACGGTGCTGCAAGTGGGGTCTCATGAGAGCTAAGCACAGGGGCAGGATCATTTCCTTTGACCTGCTGGTCACACTCCTTTTGATGCAGCCCAGCGTATGGGTGATTTCTGGGCTCAAGCGCATGCTGAAGCGGCTCACGTTCACTTTGTCATCGACCAACAGCCCCAGGTCTTCTGCAGGGCAGCTCTGGATCATGTTTCCACCCAACCTGTAGCTGTGCCTGGGATTGCCCTAAATGTTGGTAGCATTTAGGAGATGGATCTCATATGACAGGGAAAGACAGTGAAAGAGCAGCTTTCTCCTGCCTTTATCCTGCTACTGCTGAAGCCTTGCCCAAAATTGAGTTACAGTGGAGGTCTGTCTCCTTTCTCCTTTCTTTTACCATTTTGTCCCTACGGTGCTCAGCTTGAGGAAGGGTAAATGGCACTTAAGGAGCATATCATACCCTCTTGAAACAGGGCAGCTGCAGAGCTGATTGCTGTGGAGATGGGAGAAGTGGAAAGAGTGTAGTGTCTCCAGCAGCCTGATACGAGGGTACGGGTGGGATGTGACACACGTGGTTATGCTGGCTCAGTGTCTAGGGTGAACGTCATCTTGTGTGCATGCTACGCAAAGAAGAAGGTTTGTCTGCGTGAAAAGAAGCTTAATGAGGAAACAGGGTAGAGCTTGGGGTTTCTGCAATGATGTGTTTCTTGTTTTGCTTTTCAGAACACCGATCCTAAGTCGTCTGTGAAAAGTGTAAGCAGTCAGCTTGGAGAGGGGCCTAGTGATGGACTGCAGCTGTCCAGTAGCCTTCAGTTTCTTGAAGATGAACTTGTATCTTCTCCTTTACCTGATCTTACTGAGGATCAGCCTTTTGATATTCTTCAGAAGTCCTTGCAGGAGGCCAATATTACTGAACAGACTTTGGCAGAAGAGGCATATTTAGATGCCAGTGTAGGTTCCAGCCAACAGTTTGCACAAGCTCAGCTTCATTCTTCTTCATCAGCATCCTTTACTCAGGCTTCTAATGTTTCTAATTACTCAGGTCAGACGTTGCAACCTATAGGAGTTACTCAAGTGGTACAGCAACCTGTTGGAGCATCTTTTGCAAGCAATACAGTTGGTGTGCAACATGGCTTTATGCAACATGTTGGAATTAGTGTTCCCAGCCAGCATTTGTCTAATAGCAGCCAGATCAGTGGGTCTGGGCAGATCCAGCTAATTGGTTCATTCAGTAATCAGCCTTCCATGATGACCATTAATAACCTTGATGGATCTCAGATCATACTGAAAGGCAATGGTCAACAAACACCTGCAAACATGAGTAGTGGCCTCTTGGTTCATAGACAAACCCCAAATGGTAATTCGCTGTTTGGTAACTCGAATTCAAGTCCAGTAGCACAACCTGTAACTGTTCCGTTTAACAGCACAAATTTTCAGACATCGTTGCCTGTCCATAATATCATCATTCAGAGGGGTTTGGCACCAAACTCTAACAAAATACCTGTTAATATCCAACCAAAGCCTGTCCAAATGGGTCAGCAGACTGCTTACAATGTGAATAACCTGGGAATACAGCAGCATCACATACAGCAAGGGATTCCATTTGCTTCTGCAAATTCACCTCAGAGCTCAGTAGTTGGTCCTCATATGTCCGTTAATATCGTTAACCATCAGAACACAAGGAAATCAGTTACACCTCAGGCAGTCAACAATGCTGGAGGTAGTATTGTTATCCATTCTCCTATGGGACAGCCTCATGCACCTCAGAACCAGTTTCTCATACCTACAAATTTGTCTGTTAATTCTAATTCAGTTCATCACGTCCAGGCCATAAATGGACAGCTTCTTCAGACTCAGCCTTCCCAGCTGGTTCCTAGCCAAGTGTCTGCTGAGCATGTGATGCTCAACAGGAACTCTACAAACATGCTAAGAGCCAACCAGTCGTATTCAGGGCAGATACTGAATAATCACAACACGGCTGTTCAGCTTGTTTCCGGCCAGACGTTCACAGCTCCTGGAAACCAAGTCATAGTCAACCACGGAACCTCGCAGATTGTGGGTGGACAGGTACCCTTGCAGCAGGTGTCACCAACCGTGTTGCATTTGTCACCCAGTCAAGCTAATGTTTCTCAAGGTAGATCGAGTTTTACCACGATGTCCCCCGGGCAGTCTGCAGTCTCCAGCATGTCAGCTTCGAACCGATTTGCTGTTGCAAGTTCTTCTGGGTCAGTACATCCTAGCCTGGGAGCATCCGTTCAGTCTGTCGCATCGGGAGGAAACTTCACTGGAGATCAGCTCACACAGAGCAGAACTCAAGTTCCCATCAGTGCATCGCATCGTCTTCCAGCATCCTCTTCCAAATCTGGCAGCACCTTCAGTCACACGTCGGTGGGAGTAACACAACAGCAGTTTGCTTTCGGTCAGGTATGAAAGCTGCTTGAGAATGTAGCCAAAGAAATGCTTCTAAGCTGTGCTAAAACCTGGTTAACAAAGGATCCAAGCTGGTATTAACACAGAAAACATGAATTTTGCTAGCTTGTGATGTTACTGTGGAGCTGCTCAACATTACTGTGAGCTGGAGACATGATTTCACTCAGTTATTTCCTAAAGTCACTGAGTGAATGAGCCTGTCGCTTCCACTAGTGCAGAAGATTTTGCTGGTGATTCACAGTTGTATTTCCAGAACTGCATAGCACTGATCTATTTCTGCTTCCATTGAAAGGAATGGGTGCTCTAGCGTTACCCTGTGAGCTCCCCTGAAAATCTTAACCGGGGAGCTAGATGTGAAGGCTTGAGTACATTCTGAGCACTTAGAAGTCTTTTGGCCTCATGAAAAACTCTGTTTTTTTAAGATTTGTTCCTTAGAATCCCTAAAAGGAAATACCTTTTAAAGCAGTTTGTGAAACATAACAGTTAAAAAATACTTTAAGAAGAGATTTACTTAGTAATAATGGACAAAGCTTCGTGAATGTTCTCTAAAGGTGAGAACTGGGCTATTTTCCCCCAGTGGATGCAGCTGTACGTTCAGCCCAGGTTGACTTATCACACAGTTACTCCATTTCTGTCCTTTTTCTGCCTTTTTTTCCCCTCGTTTGTCATTACAAAATACTGATAAGAGCTGTCTCAGAGTGCCTTTGCACTGATTATCTTGGGTTTTTCTGTTTTCCCAAAGGTCTTGTGGATTTTTTTTAACCGAGACCAAAATGGGCAATGAAATAACGTGTCTTAGAAAATGAAGTGTATTTAGAGCATGTTGCAGAGCCACGTTTTTATTCTTGGCCCAAACTGCTAGTGCAAGTTGTAATGTTTTGTTTGCACGTGAGTTATTTCAGGCCCATCTGACTTTTCTCCTCACGCGTCTGCATCTTGCTATCTATAGGGTATGTGCTGGGTCAGTGAGTTCCAGCACTTACAAAAGCAAACTCTTTCTTCCTGCTGTAAAAGATGAGCTGAAAATGGGAACCAGAGAGTACAATTTCTGCTGTTAACCAAAACCATTTTAGTCTGTACTTGCATTTTAAATGTTACGCTGTATTGTACATAAGCCATGTGCCATTTAGTCCCTAAACACTGGATGGCTTGTGCCACTGTGTATTTTCAGTTGTGAGACAGGTTATTTAGTCATCTTGCAGTTCTGAGAATCTCAAAAGCTGAGCTTCTGCCAACTTAGTGGTAATTCACGGATCTTCTGGGATAGAGCTGGTGTAGATTTGTACCTTCAGTGGCGTTTATGTTCCTCCCTGATTTACTTCATCAAATTCTTGAACGTAAAAGGAAATGGGAAGCCTGAAATGTCACCACTTAGGAGTCTGAGGTTGCAGAAGCATGTGTACAGCTGAATTTTAGTTGCCTTTTTTGCCTTTTGCTCTCTTTGTTAAAGCTTTCAGTAAATATCTGATTTTTTTTTTTCCCCCCTAATGTCTGTGGCACAGAAGAAATCTCTGAACCACACGTCATCAGTTTCTGCATCGAAGGCGCAAGATAATTTGAGACAGCCTCAGCTAACAAGTCTCCTGAGCAACACACTATCAGGTCAACTAAGGTCTTTTTAAAATCATTTTCTTTTATCTTCCCCAGCAACAGAAATAGTTGGTTCTTCAGTGTGTCAGACTTGCATTGCTGGCTCATGCTGGCAGGATCCTAGAGGTTATCCCAACTTTCTTTTTAGACCACGTTTCCTTTTCAAACTGCGTTTTTCAGTATTGAATGTGGGCTTTTCTTTTTCCCAACCAGGGCCCTTCATTTTGTAGAGTGAAAGGCTGATTTTTATAAGCAATCATTTCCCCCTCTGTGAAATCCCAAATTGCACCTTCTTTCATTTTTCTGACTTTTTTCAGCTTAGAGAAACAGAAATCATTAGTTTCCAAAATCTGGACGTCTGCTTAAAATTGCTGTGAAACTCCTGGAGCCTCTCTTGTGATGGCTGCTTCAGATACAGATGAAAGCCAAGCAGGATTGCAAGGTTCTGCGCAGCCTTGTCATCACTTGGTTTATTACTGACTGGCTTGCATTCAGTTAGGCTAGTTAGTGCTTTGTTCCTGGCAAAATACTGGCCTTTTCAAGCAGCACCATGCTACTAAAAGGGCGTAGAATCACAGAATGGTTTGGGTTAGAAAGGACCTTAAAGCCCATCCAGTTCCAGCCCCCTGCCACGGGCAGGGACACGTTCCAGCTTGCTCCAAGTCCCTGTGTCCAACCTGGCCTTGAACACTGCCAGGGATGGGGCAGCCACAGGTTCTCTGGGCACCTTGTGCCAGGGACTTCTTCCTTGTATCTAACCTACACAAAACCAGTATGTTAAAAGTAAGCAGAAGAATGCGGTAGCCTTCATCTTCTGTGTGCATATAAGTGACCCTTTTGAGTAAGGTCCCATAATCTTAGCTTTCATTCTGTACTGTTTGTGTAAGCTGTCCAGGCAGTTCTCTACCATGGTCACAGTATGGGGTTTTTGGGGAAAGAAATGTTTGTGTTGGTTATGACAGGGCATGGCTGGTAAGGTGCTGTGTGAATTCCTGGGTAAGGCAATTGGAGCAAGTCTGGCCATCTAGAAAGTCTAGAGGAAAAAACCCCAACCTCCCCCAAAGCTCTAGAAAAACTGGGTTTATGTGCTTGAGAGAGGGTTAGTATTGAAAAGCTTGATGAAATGCACTGTATGATTTTCAGTGAATCATTGGGATGCTCTGCTTATGGTACTTGTATTGCTTCTTACATTGCGGTACTGTGGATGGAGATGATTTATATGTGAGGACTTTTGTAGTTTGCAGCAGGAAATACCAGTCCTGTTTCATTTTTATGAGCCAGTTTCTCTCCAGGGTAGTTGCACTAACGCTTTTAAGCACAAGACAAGTCTCTTTCTCCTAAAACTCAAGTAGAATGATCAGGATAGGTACGTGAAATTACTGTGTACCTGCTTAGGATGACAGAGTCTTTTTAACGTATCTTTTATAGGACAGGACTCCGGAGCAAAAATCGTGCAGCAGCCTCTAGGAACAGCACAGCCACAAGAAAAAGGAATAGGATCATCATCAGTTCAACAGAGCATACAGGTGGAGAATACTTGTGTTTATATGCTTTCCTTTGCCTTAAGACTCTAGTGCTGTTAGGAGTGTTTCAAGGCCGTGTAGGAGTCCTTGCAGTTGTTTAGAGTATATGAAGTCACCCAAGCTTGTGACGTTCTCCCTTGATCTAATGAACATTGAGTATTCCGCAGATTGGTACTCTGCGTGCTGCTTTGAGATGTAATTCAGTCAGTGGATTCTGACTGCCCTGCTTCCTGAAGAGGTGTTTGTATGCTGGAGTAATTCTTCATTAAGTTGGAGGGAAGTTAGACCTGCTCTTAGGACTTCTTACAACACGGTTGCTCTCTAGCTGTTGGGAAGGGGTGGGTTGTGAGAGGTAGCAGGAAAACTCCATCTGGTCTTTGTCTGGTTTACTTTTTACTGCATTGTCATCTTTTTTTACTACCACAGCATCTCCTGTATGTGGCACTTCTGTGCAGAAATGAAACTCTCCAGCCAGGGTTTTGAGGTGGAAGGAGAGGCAGCCCTTTTAGAGAGGGAATACAGGAACTTTGGGAGGGAAGAGGGTTGTTACATTCATGGACTGAGTGGGGTTTGTTGTAGGCTTGAGAATGTGGGATTTGTGGTGGGTTGAACTAGAAAATCATGGAAGAAAATGAGGATCTGATTTAGAATTTTTGTTCCTTGCTATAAATATCTTGGTCAATGTAGTTCGACATGAATGTTTTCCTTTTCTTACTAGCAAACAAGTAGGGCAGAAGATAGAGTAGTACTCAGTTCAGAGTTCAGCCTGGTTTGTAACTGTTGGCTAGATGTTCATTCTCCTGTGCTAGTGAATATGTTTTAAACCCTGAAGCTCGAGGCTTTTGGGCCAGCAAGTACCATTACCGTGCGTCTGCTTCATGCTGTCCTGTTTTGCTGAGAAGGATGCTCTGTGCCACAACCGTTTTTTGTTGCTTCTAACTATGTTCAAAAGAGCTTCCATGCAGTCGTCTTTTAAATCCTGAGTAGCTCTGTGACCAGTTTCATTGGTAGGACTAGCATTGACTAAAACAACCCCCAACAACTTTGTATTAGCCAAAGACTCTTTGTTCCAGAATGGCAGCTTTGGGAGAATACTTGGATAGCAGTAATGGCTCTCATACAATAGGAACATGAGCCTTTGCCATATTAGAGAGCCTCACCTCTTAGGACAGTGTTCCTTTGGAAAACCTTGGCTTCATAAAAGTCTGAGGAAAGCAGAAAATGATACAGGTCTGCCTGGCAGGTGTATCTGTAGCATTGACACTGGAACAGAATTCCTAGAACCGCTTTCACCCCTACCCAGCCACCATGGCTCATGAGGATTCAAGTTCACAACCTTGGCCTGCGTTCCTGACAGGTACTCTAATCCATGAAAACCAGGCAACAGAAATCAGCTGAGAAATGCAGGGACAGTTCTTGAGAGCAGGTCTCTTTGGAGAAGTTCTTAGTTGTACCTTTTCACCTGCTAAATTTGATAACCAGCCTCTTTCCTAGCGAAGCGTGTGCATGCACTGCTGTGGAACTTGCCTACAAACAACATTACAGACTTGTGGTTTGTGGAAGAGAAGCGACTTCCCTATTTCATTGATACAGTGCCCTAGCAAAACAGGAGAGAGTTGAAAGTGTTCATGCTTCTGTGGTGGTTAGAGTTTGTTATTGGTGATCATTGGCAGAAGTCAGTGCTGAAACTTAGGGTTTGCAAAGGAAGGGATGCATTGTAATTTGTCTTCTATTTTGAATTCAGGTGGACGGCCATTTGGTTGGACAGAAAAGGCCTGCTGCTAAGCAGTTAACTAAAGGAGCTTTGTAAGTCATCCTTCTTTAGTAATTTTATTGCAGATGGTTCCTCTAACCTTCATTTCTTGGTAGTTTTTGTCAATGTATAGACTTCTGTTAGAGTATGTGTTAATTGTGTATCATTGATTTTCCTTCTAGTATCCTCCAGCAGTTGCAGAAGGATCAGATGCATGCTGTGACACCAGATAAAAGCCAGTTCAGGTCATTAAACGATGCAGTTCAGAGACTCCTTTCATACCATGTGTTCCAGGGATCGCTGCCAACAGAGGAAGATTTGAGAAAAGGTAATTTTTTTTCCTCTAAAAATAGGTGCAAAGTTTGTGAGCAGTCTGTGGAAAGAATTATTTGTGTAAGTTGAAGGAATGAGAAAGGGCACATGTTGAACTTTGTGCAGGCTGCTGAAGAGCAGTGTTTGAAAGTACATTCTTGTCTTTCTAGTGGACAGTGAATTTGAAACCGTAGCTACACAGCTTCTGAAGAGGACACAGGCTATGCTGAACAAATACAGGCGTTTGCTGATAGAAGATGCGATGGTAAGTGGTGTAACCCGGGTACGTAGTGTTTACAGGGTGTGATTCAGTTTGTTAAAAAGGATACATCTAAAGGAAGGTGGAAGCTAGCATTACAATTCGTGGTGGTGTTACTATTTATCACCTTAGGAAGGTGATGAATATGCAGAAAGTTTTTAGATACACGTTTATATATAGCCAGTGTACTTGTTATTGCACCAGCAGTCTCAGTGGCCAAGCTGCATTTTTAAGTGTGTGAACACATCTTAAAATCAGTGAAATGGGTTGAGCTTGTATTTCACATGCTGCCCTAGGAAGGGTGCTGTTTATGTAAGTTCCATAGACATTGAAGTCACATAAACTTCTTGGTTGCTTACCCTTTCCTCTTGCACTTAACAGCTTCTGGTAGTCAGGCAGGTGATTTCTCTATACTTCTGTAGGTGACAGAGCCTGAAAGAATGTTGAAAATCATCTCCATTCAGGAGCCTGCAGCCATATTCTAATTGGACCTAAGCTGTATTACAATTTAGGCAGTCATTACTTCTGCTTAGAAGCTAGGTGGAGCCTACATTTTTCATAAGGAATGCATCTGGTTTAAAGCACTTTCACAGTCCCAGGCGTGAGGTAAAAACAAAACTGACAGAAGTTACTTTAAGAATATATTTTCAAGGCTCAGGAAATACCATTGTGGCTTTAGACATGTTAGTTTTCAAGCCTGGAACATTTTTAAATTAGGTTATAATAGACATTTAAATCACTGCATTTTAGAGACAAGAACATGTAATACAAGTGTTAGAATTTATGTCGGTTTGGAATCTGGCAGTGCCATTAAAAGATACCTGCCATTAAATACTTGCAAGTAGTTGCAGGTGTAAAGCAGGGGTGGAGGTTGAAATCTGTTCTTTTAGCATCTGGTATCTCGCATGGCAAATCCCATTCAGTCATTTTGAAGAGGTTCTGTGACGGTGTGTGCAGGTTTGGATCTAGTTGCCTGAGTTCATAGCCAGTGAACTTTCCTTTGCGATGGATGGGTTCGCCTGGTTTGAAGGCGAAATGCAACTCGGTACCTGCTAGTTAAAAGGATGGAAGAAAAAGTGCAGAGAAGAAACAAGGTGATAGGCTGGTCCTATTGCAAGATTTTCTCTGGTTTTCTCTCTAAAAGAGAAAGATAGTGTATGGTGTAAGGAACTGTGGTGCGCCGTGGTGAACGTTCTTGGTCCTGTGGAGGTACAGTTCTTAAAACTGGAACAATAATTCCCTGTTTTACAATCACTCAATGAATACAGTGTGCCGTGAAATGGGAACGGTCGTGTACGGCTGAGTTCCAGTAGTGGCTGGGGTCACAGTCAGGGTTGTTGAGGATGCTGTGGAATTGTGAACATTCTCCTCATCTCTTTAAGGGTAGAACGTTTCTTTTTCCCTGAAGAAGAAACTAAACTGTAAATGTTTTGATTTGGTACTGACATTCGAGTGACTGCGGATTTATCCCCTTCTCTGCAGCGGATAAATCCCTCTGCAGAAATGGTTATGATTGACAGGATGTTTAACCAGGAAGAAAGGGCATCTCTGACCCGGGATAAGCGTCTTGCACTTGTGGATCCTGGTAAGTAATGGTTCACTTCTGAACCATACAAAAGCAGCCCGAGTATGGGGTGCTTACAAACAGTTGTGGCCACAGTGAGGCACTGATTGCTAGGGATTCCAGTAGCTGAAATACTGCATAAGCAGTTGCAAGTGAAATTTTAAGAGCTCCCTAATTCAGTAGTTTAGAGACACTGTAAGGTTGAAGGAAGTTATTTGGGGAAAAAATGTATTTGGCCTGTTCAGCAGAGAAATATTCCTGAGTTTCTTTTGCCAATAGTTGTGACTCCTGCATGGCCTCGGTTCTAAGTAAGGAAGAAGCTGTGAGTTTGCTGGCAGGCAGAAAGAACACCCCTCTCTGAAGTGTGAATACTCTTGCTCACCTTAACACAGTGTTCCTTTTGGAATGGCGTGGCCACGCAAATGGCAGCATTTTTAACCAGACTGTTGTTGAACATGGCAGCTAGAAACGCATTATTTGTGTAAGATAACAGTTACTTAAACGTTCTGCGTATTCTGCATATTTTAAAAGCTATTCAGAGGATGGATTGAAGAAAGGATTAGTCTTCCAGATGCCATATTTGCATGTTTAGAATGCAGGGAAGTGCCCTTAGTCAGGTTTTACGTGCCTAGTGTGCCGATTAATTTGGTGATAGTGTCCCCTGGATGCAGCAGAACACTTAAGCATGTGTCCATCTCTTAAAGACGTGAATCTGTAGGTCCTGGGTGTTACTGGACTTTAATACTCAGAAGCTACACTGGAGTGCCTGTTACTTTGACGTATAAATAATCTAATGTTGCTGCTTGCTTTCCAGATGGTTACCAGGCTGATTTTTGTTGTTCCGCCAAACAATTTGATAAAGCAGCTGAAGAAGCACAGTCCAGTAAAAGTGACCATCAGCCTAGCAAAACATTAACTTCTCGAAGTCAGACTACCAAAACCCAAGCCAGAGAGCGACCAAAATCCAGCTCAGCAGAGTCCACAAATCACAGTAAACTTCCTCTAGTGCCTAACAGTGTTGTGACACCACAAGAAGGAGTAGCTTCTACTAAGAAATCGGAGAGCCTCGCTAAAGCTTTAAAGTTTGAGAAAGCGAATTGTTCTTCTGAGAGCCAGTACGTGGCCCTCTCTGAGGAGAAGCTGGCCGGGAAGGATCTTGCCAAGTCCACTGAGAATTCTTTGAGTTCTGAAGACTTGTCCAAAACCGTGTCCCGAGCCGGTCCTGGAACACACAACAAAGTAACAAGGAACACAGTTCAGTCTTTCTCAAAGGTAACGTGTAATAATTCCCTCCAAGACAAAACTCTGAGGAGCTCTCCAAAGAATGAGCTTTTACATCCTGATAACAGGAAAGGCTCTGGTGAACCCCAGCGAGACTTACTGCTCAGTAAGAGTTTAGAAACTACATTTAAAAACATCTTGGAACTTAAAAGAGGTGGGAGACAGCCACAGAACGAGGCGACAAGTAGTGGCTCAGTTGAATTAGAATTCCCCAGTTTTTCACCTATTGCTTCACAGGAAAACTGCCTGGAAAAATTTATTCCAGACCACAGTGAAGGTGTTGTAGAAACTGACTCTATTTTAGAAGCCGCTGTAAATAGTATCTTAGAGTGTTAGTAGTTCCAGTACCATGGACAAGTGATGTTTCTCTTAGCAGAAGCAAATGTGAATGACACCACAAGTACAGCCTGACGTGCATTTAAGGTTAACCTTTCTAAACTAGATTCTGTTTGGTGTTTGAGAGCAATACTCATTGTGGTTACAGTGAGAGATCCAAGTCAAGTTAATCCTTGGTAGAATGCAGTCTGTTAGGGCCTTACTATTTCAAGTATTATTATGCTAGTGCTTTTGGTAATCGTGCAGTACTGCAACATCAGAAGGTTGCAGGTCGTTCGGCCCTATGTACCATGGTAGTATACTGACAATCACAGTCATTTGAAAGGATGTATTTATTAAGGAAGTGTTTTTAAAAGGTGATGGAAGCAACAGTTCTCCCCTGCCCTTCTCTTCCACATGTCATCCAGTTTTTAGTTGTTCTGGGAAGCCCACTGTACCTCTCTTCAGAAGATTTGCTTTGTTGGTGAATCTGCGTTAAAGGATTCTTCAGCCGGAAGGGTATCATCAGTGTGTTTACAAGGCTTCAGAAGTTAAAGTGCTTTTCTATTGCTTTCTGAGCAGAAACTAGTACTTGGTATATTTGTGGTAGGTAACTTTAGTCTGTGGGATGGTATTATATGATCTTAGTCACAGTGGCATGATATGAAGTAATAAATGCTCGACTAAGGAAGGTAGAATGGAAGCCAGGCAATGGCGAAGTGTACAGGATGAGGCCATGCTAGAGCCATGAATTTATATATATAATACATATATATGTTAACTCTTGGGGAAAAGATTTTGCATTTTATAATTGGATGTAGTCAGCCTCGAGTCTTTCTGAAGTGGTATAACTGTTCTTTTTTTATTTGTTGTTTTTTTTTGTTTTAGACCAAGTGTCAAAAGCACTTTTCTTTGAGAACTGTTCTGGTATTTGTAGCTTCTGTTTGAAGAGGACATTAGCCTTACTCTGATTCAATTTGAAGGCCAGTGTTTTATTTTTCTGCTTCTTTTTTTTTGCTGTCAGAGAATGTTAAACCATCCACCGTAGCAGTCATCATGATCAAGAGCTGTACAGACCAAAGTCCATCAGCAATCCCAGTGTTGAAACATATCGCCGAGTGTGTAATGATTCACTCAGATTCATAGAGCCAAGGGAGACCATTGCGTGGTTTGGATTTGGCTTGCTGTCATGTTGTTAAGATAGAATCTTACTATTTTATTTATTTATTTTAATCTATGACTTTTTTTGCTGCCCGTGCTGCTTTTTCCTCGTTTACTTTGGTCACGAGCGCTTTTGCGCACTGACGCTCGTCACGTGCGTGTCATACGTGTGTCTGCTCAGGAGGATCTAGCTTTTGTGGTTTCTAAGGTATGCTCACGTTCTCCCCCCCGGACCGCCTCCACAGTTTCCTGGAAGAATTACCAGCCATTTGCCAGACTTGCTGATCACAACTTTCCTGTTAGCGAGGCTCATTGACAAGCTGGGGTTGTCAGTCAGATTGCCAGGAAAGAAAGAGAACAACAAGGTTTCGCTGTTGTGTGATTCAGTCCAGCTGAATAGCACGGGAGAAAGCAGGATTAGGTCCCTGTGACAGGAGAAGATGACAGTGCAACTCAGCTTTGAGCTGCACTCCACTGTCAGACCGCTGAAGGAAACCGCACCTCGAAAGCAATGTGAGAAGGAATTCGTTTGCCCTTCAACGTGAATGGAAATACTGGGTTTGTGTGTTACTGGTTGCCATTTAAAAAAGAAATGTGCCAATTTTTAAGTACCTGTTTTTAAACCCCAACATTCCCAAGTGTTGTATGACCTATTCAAGGTAAGAAAAAGCATTGCCAGTTTTCAATTGTTAGTTAGGTGTCCATAGAATAGGCTCTCGGGCGTTGAATTGTTTTCTTATTGGCAAAACTGACAATAGGAGTCTCACCTGTTGCCTTCTTAGTTTTAACAATACGCTCATGGCTGTGTATCCTGATGTGTGTTTTATGTGGTCGTTCTGGAAGCTGGACCGTTCTGAACGGTCTAGGACAGCGAACAGGAGGTTACACAGCTCCACGTGAGCTAGTTCCAGTTTTCTTTTACAGGGAAAAGGCAAAAAAGAGTCAAGTTGCACATGGATTTTGATCCACTTGCTTTTTGTGCCACCTCCAAATGGGTACATGGCGTTTCCAGCCTCTCGACAGCAAACACATAATTGAAGTCTCAGGCTGTGTGTCTTCTGTTGGATCTCATTTGGGGATAGGGGGCAATGTCAAATTCCAAGAAGGAATCATGGTTGATCTGGTCAGACACATTTCTCTGAACTACTTCTGAGAGGAACCCATTGAGCAAGATTCGTGTTAGATTTGTTAGTGTGCTGTTGTTCACTCCTTTGAATCCAGTTCTAAAGGAATTCCGGTACGTGGTGAAGCAGTAAATGAAAGAAGTGTATTTTTGTGGTGCTTTAAAAAAGAAAAATCCGACTTTATAAATCATATGGGCTCACGTCCAGCAAAGTCTTGTGAATGTGCATGACTTTCCAACATGTTTTCATTATTTTGCTGGATCCGCATTGTGATTTCCATGTTATTTAATACTGCCTAATAGTAAAAACAAATTTTCAACTGGCAATTAAGAAAACGATGTTCATTTTGAAGATTGGAGGATAATTTATCTGTTAGATTAGGGAGGCCTTACAGACTGACTTCACTTAAAGAGGATGTGTCACTTATTGTCAGTGTGGTATGGACTTTATTTGCTTAAATACCTTCATTTGTAAAGTATGTCTCACTTGAAATTGCTTTGTATACATTTTGTAAAAATATTTATAAAATGTTTTGTAAAAAAAGAAGTATAACAAATTGCAGTTTATTTTGTTATGTTGGATAAATACTGTTAAAAGACACAAGTCAGTAAATATATTGTTAATCCATGGATAGGAAATGTTTAGTTGGAGATTACAAATTGAAACAACCATTGCAATACAGCCAAAGATTTGGGAAAAACATGTCTACCTGTGGTTGTCTTGATTTAACCAAGTCGAATGTTTCCATGTCCAAACGAGGACTGTTCTCGGTCGAAGTCACACGGTTGCAAAACATTCTTCCTCTTGTGCTTTTTCTCATGCAGCCCTGTTATAAAATACTGGATAGGCCAACCTCTCGTACTCGTCATGAATCTCTCTGAACATACCCTCTCAGGGCTTGGTTCAGGTGGCATTGTAACTGCATCTGGTAACGCTGATCTCCACATTGCCAGTGGTCCTGCTCCTTTGCCGTTGGGAATCTTGCCACGGTGAGGTTGCTGTGACACGCTCTCCTCCTCTAGCGTGTTTCCACGAGGTGCGGGCATCGTTTTCCTGGTACCTCGGGGAGACGGAAGAGACGAGAGGGGTTGTGTTGGTCACCCGGCCACCTTATCCGTGCTGCAGCTTGCAGAGCTGTGCCACTTGTATTTGGTTATAGGCCCCTGCCTCTGCATATTGCCCGTTCCTTCCTTGTTTGGCTGTGAGAAGAGATGACAGTTGCTGGGGATGTAATGCTGCTTCCTGCTTCCGAGGGGTGATGAACCTTTTCTTGCTGTGATTGAATTTTTCAGAAAGCACGCAGAGGTTCTGCTGTAGCACAGCTCTTATACGTGGAACAGCAACGCTTTACTTTCGGAGGCTATGAGAATGAAGGATTGAAGTGCACTGCCTCTCCGCTGCGATTAGGGCCTGCAGTGTTCCAAGGTAGAAAACTTCATGGTTAGTATTTGTTATTTTGTCAGTGAGACAGAATAAACATGCCTTTTGAATACTTCCCACACGGATTCAGACAGTAACACAATAAAAGCAGTCCTGTATTACGTTGATCTCTGTGTGGGTTAGGATGGCTGAACAGCTTGGATTGGTTTTTCTCCTTCTCATATCCCTGTAGAATTACCAGGCAAACTTTCTGGGTTGGGAAACATTTGATGTTGGGTTTACCATGCACCTGCCTTCACTTCAGAATATCATTCCATTCCAAGAAAATGGTGTGTTGCTTTCAGTTGCCTTTCAGTAGCACTTTGATGGCTGGGATTGTTGGGTTTATGGCAACACTGAGGGCAGGATTGCTGAAGATGTGGGCATGCCTGTTAACGCATGGCTTATTTCAGAAAGTCAGAACCCACCCCTTCCATTTTGAGGAGTGGTCCAAAAGAAGTGCCAGAATAATTTTGGCACAAGGAGAGGTATTGTAAGGGGTTTGAAACCTTCGAGAAGTTTCCCTTTTCTTCAGGAATCGTTTTCTTTATAAGCCTTTGAATTTTTCCCTTGGAATTGTACACGCTTTTCCTTGGAATCCTCACAAGGATGCGTTTGTCAGCGTCAAGAATTGCAGGAGGCTCTCGTCGTGCCTTTGGGGGTCTGCTGTCACTTTGGCCAAGGAAAGTCACTGCAGAAAACGAGCATGGTATGTTGAAGGTCTGAAAGGCAGCACGCTCTGGGGCACATACAATCCACTGCACTCAGATTTCAGTGCAGGAGCAGTGGGTAGTCTGAACGGCTTGTTCGGAATGGATGGGTTGGTGTTTGTGCTCCTGGTCTTGCAACCAGTCATCCTACTGGAAACTGGAATAAAATCATCCATAATAATGTGTTGCAGCAAGCAGGGAGCTTCTTGTTACCTGTCACAACACATGATTATGGCTAATAATAATAATAAGCAAGCAGAAGCTTGCTGTACTAGGGAAGAAAAAGGTAAAAGGACACCACGTGGCCAGCAGAATCGGTGTTTCTGGTGTACAAGTAAAAGCCTCTGAAGTTGCCCTGTTGTGTGCTGAGCCTAAACCCCTGCTTCTCCCTGCTTTCTGGAGTGTAGTGCTCAGTCTTAGTCGCTGCTTTTGCTGTGCAGGGATTTGTTGAGGAATTTTTTCCAATTCTGTTTGTTTTCTTGGGAATCACAGAAGCATTATGGTCGGAAAAGACCCTTGAGATCACTGAGTCCAGCGGTTAAGCTGCAGAGTCAAATGAGGTGTTCTTACTTGAGGTAAATTATCTTAGGATCATAGAACAGTTTGGGTTAGAAAGGACCTTAAAGCTCACCCAGTTCCAACCCCCTGCCATGGGCAGGGACACCTCACACTAGAGGAGCCTGCTCCAAGCTCCTGTGTCCAACCTGGCCTTGAACACTGCCAGGGATGGGGCAGCCACAGCTTCTCTGGGCACCCTGTGCCAGCGCCTCAGCACCCTCACAGGGAAGAGCTTCTGCCTTAGATCCAACCTGAGCTTCCCCTGTTCCAGTCTGAACCCATCACCCCTTGTCCTGTCGCTGCAGTCCCTGATGAAGAGTCCCTCCCCAGCATCCTTGCAGCCCCCTTCAGACCCTGGAAGCTGCTCTGAGGTCTCCACGCAGCTTCTCTTCTCCAGGCTGAACAGCCCCAGTGTTCTCAGCCCGTCTTCGTACGGGAGGTGCTGCAGCCCCTGCTCATACTTGCTCCAGCAGCTCCATGTCCCAGCTATATTGAACACCGTAAGTTTTAGACCTCAGTGCTTTGAAGGGGCAGCAAGTTTAGTTACTCTGTGCTGATGGGTCTAGGCAGCTCTTAATGCTTCAGTTACCTTTTGTGTCAACACAGCTTTTCGTTACATAGCACAGTCCTACCAGAAGCCACATTTTCAACATTATCCCGAGCCCTTGGCTATGGGAGTTCCTCACTGTCACACACTTATTACACGTTTCATTCTGATTACTTTACCCTGATGGAGCTTCACTGTCTCTGCTCACCACTGAGGTAGAAGCAACATAGACCTAACTGATGTTCCTTTCCAGACACGTGGCACATAGGGCCTGTTCCCCACTCTGTTGAATGAGTGGGAAGATAATTTCAATTCAGGATGATGGTGGTAACACGTCTCTGTAAAAAATAGAGTTTAGAAAAGCATGAAACTGAATTGACGCAGTGCCCTTGGGTGGAAGGTGATGCAAGGACTCGGATTGGCCAGCAGTGACCATCTCGGCGCGTAGGTAAGGTAGCGTTACTGAGTTAATGGTGTTACCTGGGGTGGTGATGGAATAAAATGGTTTCATACAAGCAAGCTGCTGGTTTATTTTCCCCTCCAAACATTATAAACTGCTGACAATCCCTGCTCCGTTCTGAGAATTCAGAGCTTTACTCTCTTCTGAGCAGAGCACTTTGACACCAAGTGTTCCTACTGAGATGCGGAGCCAAGCGCAAGTCGTGGCGAGAAATACAATGTTAGGAAGTGGTACAGGGGCTGGAATTCTAAGTGAGGTGAAATAGTTGATGTTGGCACGAGGCTAAAGTCCTGTCTGGGTTCTTGTGATCAAGACTGAAGTGCAGCAGCTGGAATGTAGAAATTACCAGTGGTGAAGTTCAACTGGGGAAGTACAAGGCTGAAATCAGTCACGTAAGGTGCATCATTCCTGAGCTGGGATTCTCCTTGAGTTAAGCCTGAGGGCTTTTTGCAGCTACCAGATGGCACAGAAAGGACACCGGGACAAGGTGTTTGGTTGGTAAACCTGTAACTCCTACAGATGGAATCACACCTTA